ACGTGCTTCTGCCCCATCAACGCCATGTGAGGGCCCCTCGGGACCACCTGGGGGCCCTAGGCGCCGTGCAGCTGGCGCCGCTCAGCGGCGCCAGCAATCGTCTCAGTTTCAATTGCCGCAGCCACCTCCGAGAGAGCCCCCCCGCACAGGCCCCAGGTAGGTCCTCTCGCGGCCGCCGGCGCAGAGCCCGACGTTTCCTAGTGGAGACGTGCAATGCGACATCCTGGGGATCGTTATTGCCGCACCATGCGAAGGAGACGGAGGCCTCTGCGGTGTTCCTCCAGGAGATCGGGGTGCTAGGTGACTCTGTGCCGGCTAAGGAGGACTTTTTAAAGAAGCTAGGTTGGGACGTCGCGCTGAACGCCTCGGTGGCCACAGAGGCTGGCGGGGTATCACCAGGAGTGTGGATTGCTGTGCGCAGGCGTATTGGCATGGGGAAGCCCCCCAATGTCACGCGTGCACTGCCTAGCCCCCATCGGGTCAAGGTGACTTACATTAACACGTTCATCGAAGGCGGTTTCTTGGGAGTCACTGTGCACCTGGACGAGAAGGACCCCCTGGGGCCAGAAGGGAGTCAGATCCTGGCGCGTCTTGGGGAATACCTCTTTGGCATGGACACCCCTCTCATTATAGGCGCTGACTGGAACTGCGCTCCAGAGCAACTTTCGGACGGGGGCTGGCCAGAGCGCCTTGGAGGCTGCATCGTTTCGATTTCTGAGCCAACGTGCCGCTCGACGGGGAGTCTTGGCGTTGCATTGGTTTCTTCATCATCACTAGAGCTCTGCAGAAGGTTGTCAAAGGGGTCAAGAGAAACGAGGACTCAGGTATCAAGACGCATTGGCCTATCACCCTCACTTTGTCAGGCCAGCCGCTGGACTCGAAAGTTCGGGTGCTGCGTAGGCCGCGTGCCTCCCCTCGCGATCTCCCAATCGGCCCATCACCAGAGCCGCCAGACTGGTCAGAGCTTATCTCTGCTGCCAGCTCGCGCGGCTCCCAGCTGAAGTTAGACGCGACCTTTTCGGCTTTCTTCCAGAAGATGGAGGATGAACTGTTGGAGGCTCACGCCATCGACCCTTTCGAGCGCCCCAAGTACCGTGGACGAGGCCAGCCTCCCAAGTTTGCGTGGGCGCCTGCTCTTCGGGTTGCTGGGGGTGCTTATCCCGCGGGGCCCGCCGGGTCCAGGGGCTGGAGGCAGGTCGCACATTGGGCTCTCGAGCTCTACCAGATCTCTAAGAAAGGTGTTTCTTGGGGCGACGAGGAATGTGCGAGGCTGATCAACAGGCTTACCAAGGGACCTGCAAGGCTGCTCAACAGTAAAGAGTGGGAAGGTTGGCTGCCACCGCTCGACACTCTGTTCCTGTACACCACCAAGGAGTGGCGCGACATGCTTGTGCGGGCCACCAAGCTCGCCACTAAGTGCGAGTCGCGCTTCAAGAGCGAGCGTGGAGCCAAGTGGCGTCAGCGGGTAGCCGAAGCCGCCAGCCAGGGTGGGGGGGAAGCCCACAAGTACTCCCAGCCCGCTGCCGCCTGGATCCCCAGTGCCAGTCTCGAAGCCCCCCCCCCCGCCAGGGCCTCAGCCGCAGGTGGATGAGCTGCTCAACTTCTGGATCCAGGTCTGGGCCCCCCACCCTAAGGCTGGCCAGTTCCCAGACTCTCTCCCGTTTCCGAACCAGAAGCTTCGGGGGCAGGCCCAGGAGAGAGGACTGGGAGTCGCTGATCTTTGCCCAGCTCCCCGGCAGCCAGCTGAGATACGAGCAGCTGCAAAGAGTTTCAAGCCCTTCACTGCCATGGGGGCCGACATGCTCCACCCCCGCGAGTTCGGCAACCTCTCTGATGGGGTTCTGGAGTGTCTGGGGCTCCTCTGGTACTGGCAGGAGGCCGACGGGTTCCTGAGTTCCTGTATCTCCCTGGTTCTCCTGGCGCAGTTATTGAAACCTGAGGGGTGCGATCGGCCTATCGGTATCATGACTGCTGTGTCGAGGGTCTTCGGGAAGATCAATAGAGCTGAAGCGGTGTCTTGGGAGCGGGAAAACTACAGAGACTACCAGCACGGTGTCCAGGGACGCTCTTGCGAGCAGGCCGCCTGGGAGCAGTCGCTGTCTGTCGAGCATCCAACCTCCAGGGGGGCACCGCGGGGATATCCCTCATGGATCTCACCAAGGCCCATGAGAAGGTATGCCATTACCCCCTGATCGAGGCAGCGGTGAAGTGGAGCTTCCCGTTGTACAGGCTGCGCGTGTGTCTGCAGCAGTACCGTGGCCCTCGTGTGCTGAGCCTGGCAGGCGTTTGCTCCATGGTCACGCAAGTTCACCCGTCAATACTTGCAGGTTGCCCCTTCGCCACCAGCCTCCTGAGGCTGTTTCTTATGGGGCCCTGGACTCTATGGTTGAAAAGTGGCCGACAGTCTTCCCCTTCAACGTTGTTGACGACATCACGCTGTTCACGTCAGACTCCGCGAAGTTTGCGCAGGTGGGCCTAGGCAACGCGACAACCCACCTCTGCCAGATTTTGGAAGAGCTCTGCCTGGTCATATCTGAATCCAAGGGAAAAATCGCTTCGTCCTGCAAGGAGGTGGCCCGAGGTGTGGCCAAGCGCCTTGAACGCTGGGCTTTTCAGGCCATCGATGCCGCTCAGAATCTCGGTTGCGATTTCGGAATGAGGCCCAAGGGGCTGAAGTCCAAGAAGGTGCTCAACGCCAGATTCGGCCAGATCAGAGCTAGGCTTGCGAAATTCCGAAGTTTGAGGAGCTCGTTCCACGGCCTGATGAAGGTCGTCCGTGGCGGTGCGCTCCCTGCAGGGCTGCGCGGTACGTGTGTCAGAGGCATGACGGACAGTCGGATCAAGGGGCTGCGGGCGGCCCTGGCATATGCTTCGCTCGGTGCTGCCAAGGGACGAAGCCGCACGTTGGAGTTCATGCTATCCAGTAACCCAGCCTCAGACCCAGAGTACCAGGCCAATATTTTGCCGCTGATAGCCTGGAGCCGTGCAGCTCGTGAAGGATGGGCTGCTACGGAGACTATGCGCGCATGTTTTTCGGCGGCCCAGACGGCCCCATCCTTCGCCTGGCACGATGTCCGCGGGCCTGCTGGGGCTGTCGTGCTTACCCTGAAGCGGCTGGGGCGGGGGGCTCCCAGTTGGCACCGGTGGCTCACCAGAAGCAAGAAGGAGGTAGACGTCTTGGATCTTGGGAAGAGGTCTCTCACCAAGCTCATCCAGCAGGACACCTGGGACCCCATGGGGCTCAGAGTGGGCAGTAAAGTCTGGGGCGCGGTGGGAGTTCCCCCCCTCATCAAGCCCCTGGCCTCGCTGATCACGGAGTTCAGGCGTGGAAGGGGCCCAGGGGGAACTCAAGGCTAGGCTGCTGTCGGGACTAGTGGCTGGAGGTTACCCGACCCAACGCACTTTGCATCTCGACGGGCGCGCGATCCGACCTGACTGCCGGCGGTGCAAGGTGGAAGCAGGGACCCCGACCCACCGTTTTTACCGCTGCATGGGCACGCACTTGCTGCGCCAGAGCATGGACGTCGACGATGCGGTCAGCCAGGCCAACGCAGCAGGAGCAGACCCCATCTTTTACGGTAGGTGTCTGGTGCGCACCCCAGAGGCAGGCTGGCCATGTGGGCTCCAGACGCCAGCCATCCAGCGGGAGAAGTACCCGCAAAATGGCGTGTTTCAGGTGCGCATGTGCATCGATGGCTCGGCGATCGATCCCGAGTTGCCCTTCACTCGGGCAGTTTGGGCGGTAGTCCGCATGGCCAGCGACACGTGTGACATCATCGGCTCCTGCTACGGGCCCCTCCCCCACCCCATCCAGGAGGCAGGAGGAGGGGAGATCTATGCTCTTCTGATGGCCTTCCAGATGTGCGGTGCAGGCCCTGTCGCTGTTGTCACGGACTGTAAGCTTGTCATCGATGTGTGGGAGCGAGGGCCGCAGCAGAATCTCGAGCGCCTGGCCTTCAGCGAGCTGTGGCCCCGCATCTTCCAGGAAGGCAAGGGCATTGGACGGGAGAACATAATCCTGATAAAAATTAAGTCCCACCTCAGCTTGACCAAGGCTCTCGAGAGGGGCCACCCGATCTGGGCCTGGAAGGGAAACAGGGAGGCGGACAGGTTGGCGGAGGGAGTGCCCGTTGCCACCCACACCATCCCCTGATCAAGGACCGTTACGTTTCCCTCTCTGAGCAGGTTCGTATGGTAGGACAGTTGCAGGCTTCGGTTTTATGTGCTCTCTCGGAGGGGAATTTGCCTGATGTGGAGAAGGTTAGGGCTCCCAAGAGGCCCCGACCCAGCCCCCTGCAGTTGGTTTCCAATCCCAACGGCCATGATGTCCGTAGGTATGGGAAATCGTATCATCGGTTTTGTTGTGCCATCTGTGGGGACAAAGCGGCTTCACGGACAGGGCTGTGCATGGCTCCATGCAGCGGAGTTCCCAGGCTCGCGCGCTCAGCTCACAGCTTTCATGTGCTGTGGATTGGCCGCGGAGGCATCGTGTGGCGCAGGCAGTGCGGAGCCTACGGCTCTATGCGCTCCAAGCATTTCATCGAGGTGTGCCACAGGGGCCCAGGAACAAAGGTGCTAGCCAGTCGTTGGCGCATTAAAAGAAGGGGGTGGACCCCTCGACCCGCAAATCGTTCGGGAAGAGTTGGCCAGCCCCGCCCAGGCAACCCTAGTCAGGTCACTTTTCCTGCCTGGCGGGTTGCTCCACCGTCCACCCCCCTTCGCCCCTCTTGCCCCTTTTCCAGCGGCTCGTGCGCCCTGTGGGAGGTGTACCTGTCCGCCAGAGGATCACAGGATCACAGGGGGGACAAGGAGGAGGAGGGACAAGGAGAAGGCGATGGGAAAAGAGGGAGGAGAAGGGAGGAGGACGATGAGGGAGGAGGGGGATGAGGGAGGAGGGGGATGAGGAGGAGGAGGGGGATAAGGAGGAGGAGGAGGAGGAGGAGGAGGAGGAGGAGGAGGAGGAGGAGGAGGGTGGATGAGAAAGAGGGTGGAGAAGGAGG